TCTCTCTCTCTCTCTGGAAGGAGTTTGGGAGTGTATGGAGCTGAAGGCTGCATCCCACTTCACAACTTCCACAACCCACGACTTTTACACACATAAGGGTGATACTTTACGGCCTTAATGTTTCAAAAACATAGGTAAAAAATATGAATAACGGAAAGAGACACCTCGTTCGCAGGTTTGAATATATTATTTGAAGTTTGAAGGCATCTGCGGGAGGCCTACTGAGTGCGCAGAGCATGTGGTGTGTTAAAAAAGGCACTCAGTTCTCGTCTAAAGTATATAATGAGAAGTTCAAAGCAATAATTAAATTGCAACAACAGTACAATACAAGTGTTTTGCATAAGCGAGAAACTTCATTAAAATGATGCATGTAAAGAAAGTCAACCAAACCTGAAATGCCCACTGCTAAAGTAGACAAAAAACGTTATGCATAAGTGTTGCGGCCCAATCCTACATTGCATTTAATATCTTTATATGCAATTATCTTTATGTTTAATAGTGTGTACCATTGACAAATTTGTGCATTAATTTCTTAAAGATGCAAATAGCATGGCAGTTCTAAAAAATGTACGACTTCAACGTGAGGCATGTATATTGCTAACTAACATAGGAGTATTTTTTTTTCTCCAAAAAAACGTGAAACGTAGCATTTGATTTTTACAAAGCATTTGGTTTTAGCACTGGCTCTTCTGAATGAAACGCATGAGTTCCATGCCATTTAAGAACAGGCTACATTTTATCACATTGCAGCTAGTGTTTACTAGATGCGCGCCAGGTTCTTCTCAGAGCATCAGGCTTCCGCATAAGTAGGCCAAACGTGGAAGTACTCCGTGTCTAGGACAAAGGCTATTATTCGGCCATGCATTCACTAAAGTCTCTTTTCTGAATTTCAACATCCAGAGCAAAATCACAGTCAGCAACCTCCCGACAATCCCATAGATTGATGATGTAAACCGACCAATGGCACTGATGCTGAGGCATGGCGGGCTGTTATTTGGTGAGTGAATGTTAGTAGGGGGAGAGCGCCCTCTCCAATGATGGTCCAAGCTCGGGGTCACGTGCTGCCCCCCTCCTTCCCCATTCATCAGGGGTGGACTGTGTTGTCTTTTCAATTCATTTATCTGCAGGAATGATTGCGACTATCAGTCTGAAGCTCACCGCCTGACTGAGGAGGTGAAAGTTGCGCCACAGGAAGATAAACCGCAAAAGACAATATTGCACATGATTTGCGTACGCATCGGATGAGCAGGAGAAGGAAATTCCTCTCCACTAAAAGTAAATAGGAATAGGGGATCGGAGTTTGCCTTGCACAGACTTAAGTCAGAGAAATATCAAGCAGAGACAGTTGTTAGAGATTCTTCCTCTCTCAGTCTCCTCCGCTGCAGACTGAAGATGCTCTTGGACGCAGGACCACAGTATCCCACCATTGGAGTGACTACTTTCGGCTCCACCAGGCATCACTCAACAGGCGAAGTTACAGACAGAGAAGTGGCGTTGGGTATCAATCCGTTCGCCGACGGTATGGGCGCTTTCAAAATCAACCACAGCGCCCACGACCTCGGCTCTGGGCAAACGGCGTTTTCCTCGCAAGCGCCCGGCTACGCCGCCGCCGCTGCCCTGGGACACCATCATCACCCCACTCATGTCAGCTCGTACTCCACCGCCGCCTTCAACTCCACTCGGGACTTTCTCTTTCGCAATCGGGGCTTCGGAGACGCCACGAGCGCGCAGCACAGTCTGTTCGCCTCCGCAGCAGGAAGTTTCGCCGGACCACATGGACACTCTGACGCCGCTGGGCACCTGCTCTTCCCGGGACTGCACGAGCAAGCGGCCACGCACGCGTCCTCCAACGTGGTGAACAGTCAGATGCGCCTGGGCTTCTCCGGGGACATGTACGGCAGGGCCGAGCAATACGGTCACGTCGCTAGCCCCAGGTCCGAGCACTACGCCTCGACTCAGCTGCACGGCTATGGCCGCTATATTACTGATATCATTTTGAATGTCCTATATGTTTTAATTAACGGACATAATATGCGAAGCAAATAATGCTAATATTTTTTTGTAATTGTTTCATTATTTTTTTATTTGCCCTATTAATAATTTTCATACCAAGCACAATTACGTGACGCAAATAATTTCTATTCGTTACATGTTGTATACTAACTAACAAATTACACGTGTAGTACAGTATAGTACTATCTAGAGTACAGTATCGTAGCAAAATAAAATAACGTAAACAATTTGGGCGACATTTAAATGGATATTGTTGTGAGTCGTGTTTCGTAGTGGAATATGGACAGGGACTTTTTTTTAACGCGTTTGTATTTGCTTATATCCATTTGCTCGATTTATGTATCTCCAAATGTGATAGATTTTATGTATAATTTATTTTTAATACATGTGCTAGACTCTTAAAATGCTTATTTTGAGAGATGTTTGCTCTGTTTTTTTTTTATTAGGTGAAAAACCTTTCAAGTGTGAGTTTGAAGGCTGTGACAGACGCTTTGCGAACAGCAGTGATCGTAAGAAACACATGCACGTCCATACCTCTGACAAGCCTTATCTCTGCAAAATGTGTGATAAATCCTACACACACCCCAGCTCCCTCCGGAAACACATGAAGGTAACAATAACATTGCAGTGCATTATTTTTTCCACCTACATTATTTAATGTTTTTTTTCTCCTTCCTTTTTTATTATTTAATTTACGTATGCTGATTTAAAAATAACGCTTTTTTATGTGTACTTCTATTTCTGACCTCATATGGATTTTTTTTAATGTGTTGAATAATGTTGTTATTTGCATCAAAATGATGTTATTAAATAAAAGCTAGCGCTGAATACCGACATAATCTGAACATAAAGCTAAATACAGCGTTACAGAATCTATATTATTGTCAGACGCAATCGGTTGGTACAGTTTGAGATAAGAAATTATGAGGCACGTATGAAAATATATTTTCATGCACACTGATTTATGTTTGTCTTCGACTCAGGTTCACGATTCGTCGACTCAAGGATCCCAACCCTCCCCGGCAGCCAGCTCCGGCTACGAGTCCTCCACGCCGCCCACCATCGTGTCCCCTCACAGGAAGATAAACCGCAAAAGACAATATTGCACATGATTTGCGTACGCATCGGATGAGCAGGAGAAGGAAATTCCTCTCCACTAAAAGTAAATAGGAATAGGGGATCGGAGTTTGCCTTGCACAGACTTAAGTCAGAGAAATATCAAGCAGAGACAGTTGTTAGAGATTCTTCCTCTCTCAGTCTCCTCCGCTGCAGACTGAAGATGCTCTTGGACGCAGGACCACAGTATCCCACCATTGGAGTGACTACTTTCGGCTCCACCAGGCATCACTCAACAGGCGAAGTTACAGACAGAGAAGTGGCGTTGGGTATCAATCCGTTCGCCGACGGTATGGGCGCTTTTAAAATCAACCATAGCTCCCACGATCTCGGCTCTGGGCAAACGGCGTTTTCCTCGCAAGCGCCCGGTTACGCCGCCGCTGCCGCCCTGGGACACCATCATCACCCCACTCATGTCAGCTCGTACTCCACCGCCGCCTTCAACTCCGCTCGGGACTTTCTCTTTCGCAATCGGGGCTTCGGAGACGCCACGAGCGCGCAGCACAGTCTGTTCGCCTCCGCCGCTGGAAGTTTCGCCGGACCACATGGACACTCTGACGCCGCTGGGCACCTGCTCTTCCCTTTTCAAAAGACTGCAGAATTAAGACTGCTTTGGAACCAAGACTCAAAAGTCAGCCTATTCTCGCGTGGACCTACATATTACACACAATGTGAAGAATCTGAGAGAGCAGTGCATGGACGGGGTGTGCAACGCTCTTGACAGCCTTTTTCCGATTTCTGTCCTCCATTTCTTTTGATATTTTTTTATTTCTTTTTCTTCTTTTTTTTTTCCTTCATATTTTCGGAAGACTGCACAGAGAACTCCAATTGCATGCTACCAACACGTCACAGCCTGTTTATTTTTTATTTGTTTGTACATAAAGATTTACCTAGTTTAAAATGTAATATTTTATTTTGTAAATAGTCATAATACAGTTTAAGGGAATTTGTGAAGAAAAAAAAAAAGTGGTCTCTATATATATGGAAAATGAGATGGTTTTACGAATATTGCGATTAATAGTCTTCACTGAAAATAATGTTATAGTTTATGTGTACCAAATGTGAATTACCCAGTATTACCACAGTCTACACGTTTACCTAAACGATTAGTATTAATGTGCTTTTGTATACAGTGCAACATTTCGCAGGAAGTTTCGCCGGACCACATGGACACTCTGACGCCGCTGGGCACCTGCTCTTCCAGGGACTGCACGAGCAAGCGGCCACGCACGCGTCCTCCAACGTGGTGAACAGTCAGATGCGCCTGGGCTTCTCCGGGGACATGTACGGCAGGGCCGAGCAATACGGTCACGTCGCTAGCCCCAGGTCCGAGCACTACGCCTCGACTCAGCTGCACGGCTATGGCCCCATGAACATGAATATGGCTGCCCATCACGGGGCAGGGGCCTTCTTTCGGTACATGAGACAGCCCATTAAGCAAGAGCTCATCTGCAAATGGGTCGAACCGGAGCAGCTGACGAATCCGAAAAAGTCCTGCAACAAAACGTTCAGCACCATGCACGAGCTCGTGACCCACCTGTCGGTGGAGCACGTTGGGGGACCAGAGCAGTCGAATCACATTTGCGTTATTTAATGTCATGTCGATAAACCGTGTAGTGAAAGCCTGAAGCTCCGTGTCAATCTTGTTTATGTAAGTGATAAAATATAAAACTATCTGTCTATTGCATTGGCAATTGCAAGAAATGTATTGCTTGTATATAACTCAATTTTTCCATATTTATCCGCATGTACAGGACCGGTAACACATGTTAGAGATAATCGGTATTTATGGAAAATGCGTTCGTAGGGTATGTAAAATTTAGTTTACAAAACAATGTTTGGTTACTTTTTGTACAATATTAAAGAATTAAACGTACAACAAAAAATGCCTTCAATACGTTATTTCTCGACTGTGCTTTAAATAACTGAATTGGAGGTTGAGAAATACCAACAAGAAAACTTCAAGAGTAACCTATTTATTATTTCTATTTACTTATGCATTTATCATTTTGAAATAAACGGACTCTAAATTAAATCACTGCATAACTACAACAACAATAACCACTGGTGTTAACAAGATTTGGAATTTAACGCTTAAAAAATGTAAATGTGAATTACACAAATCAAAATGACATTTCAGTCCTAAATAAGTCCAGCGCCTGCTTTTATATTTTGCCCCACTAATTCAGCAGGAAGAATTAATTTAATTTCACTTTTGTACCCTTATTATTGTCAGAAAAAAAAAAAAAGAAAAGTCCCCAGAGTAACGTTTTAATGCAATAAACCGTTAAATCGTGACGAATGTACTTATCTACGATGTCTTACTTAAATAGTTTACATTACTTAACTCTCGTCACGGCCTTATATAATCATGCTTGTTTGGGACCAGTAGCGTATATGGTTGGAGTGAAGGTTTTTAGTCCAAGAAGAGAGTCACTGTTGGGCTTTGTTCTTGGTTGCAACTTGCTTGATCGCCCCATTAGTCACATCAAGATCATGAGCGTGCTTAATATCGCCAGTGCACGATTCTCACTGAGCGATTTTGCCAACTGCAAAAGATGCTGTTTGGATATTAAAATCTGCAAAATGATAAATCGTTTAACCATTGCGTATTTCTTCACGGCCAGAAAGTGCAAAGTTTTCCAGAATGAAAGATTGTCTACCTATGGAGGGAGGGGGCAATCTGAGCGCTCGTAAATCCAGGCAAGCACGCGGCCTGTACTATTATGAGTACTATGCATGCATGCAACTTTGTGTGTGTGTGTGTCTCAGATAACACAAGATCATTAGCATGTGCAAATTTAAACTGTGCCCCAAGGCTATGCAACTAATGAATCGAGCATTGCAGTTTTTTCTAATTCGTGGCCATTTGGATGTATTTTTGTTTTTAAATGTGATCCGACGACATGTTAGTTGCAAAGCGGTGCTTAGTCGCTTAAAGGAAAATGCAATATACGCTACAATGTTTACATGTTCCTCTTGGGGGTGTGCACAAGTGCAGGCAAGAGTGTAGACTGCCGTGCGCGTGAGAAATAGCCCACCGACAGGAGGAGATACTGACTTCGGGAAAATATAAACATATTGGCACATCAAACAGTAGGGGCGAATACGGAATGCATTATGTCGGAGGTGATTTTTTTTTCCGAAATATTTTCATATTCTCCTTCCACGGGTTATTAGGTTTTGAGATATGTGAATGGTGGTAATAGAATGAATTGTTCGACTCTATTTAACACTATCCATGGGCAAACGCTATTACAATGTGGCTATGTTAGATTATTTGATGGATATGAATGTCCGTGTTCATATAAAACTAATATATCCGTGCCTGTTTTTGTCAGTTTGCCCGTTGTGGTAACCCCAACATACAAATTAAATTTAAGACGAATTAGCTATTGAAAAAAATAATAAAAATCAATTTAGGTGTTACACACATAATATGTTTAATAACACCCCATTAAAGGCTATCTTTTTGCATTGTTTTGGAAATAGCACAACAATAGTTTAAGAACACCTTAATTAAATATTCTAACAGAATACAGAGGCTTATGAATTGTCACACGGAATAAATATTTGATGATTTTACGAAAAAAAAAAGATTTTTACAACATGCGCAGAACAAAAATATATGCATTAATAAATCTATTAAATATAAATCGTAGGCCTTGGCTACTGCTTGAAAACTGAAAGGGTTTCTCTGTGAACGCTCTTATACAAGAAGACCGAATATTTGCTTTTCGACGCCATCATCTAGCTTAACAGCGAATACAATTACCGTTTAATTTGAGTAAGACGTTTGTTTGCTCTAATTTTGACATGCAGTCTGAACGCAAAACGCAAAGTGCAATTCAAATCAATAAGTCAAAGCTTTTGAACATTAAACAAAAAAGCATTTGAACATAAAAAAAAAAATCACATTACTTTAACGTGGTGTAAATTTCATCAGGGAGTGAACCTTCATTTCATCCTTAGCCGTATTTTTTTCCTAAGCGTCTTGCTTGAGAACGAAAAAATGACAATGTGCTTTCCAACAAGTTACATAACAGTAAAGGCGAGCCTTGCGTAACTATTAACCTTAACCTGCACTTATGCAGTCCTAAATAACCGTTAGTTCCATGTTTTTAACGCTCCCAGTATGATTTCCATAGCCAAATACTGAGCTGCATTTAAATTGACTGCTGAACTTTCTGTGATTGTTGCACAGCTGTTGTGTAGAGATGGATGCATCGCTGTTCTTTCTCTGTAATCTAAAAGTAGCTGACAGTTTTCTCCTCTCATTCCTATGCGCTTGACCTTTCTCTGACTTCAGCGCTTTCTTGTTCGGGTGAACACGTTGCACTGAGAGCAGGATGAGAAAAAAGAAAGTCATTTAAACTTGAACGCAGAGTGCAAATTGACAAGAGTGCGCCGGAGAATCTGTGGAGTGTGACTGTTATTTTGCATTGAGATGGATGATTATTTTCAGAGTATTTATCATTGCTTTGTAAAGAAAGCAGTATAGATCGGTAGTGCAAAGACATGCAAATAGGTCATTTTTCTTGTTTTGATAGGCCAGGGGAGCATGCAGAAAAATGTAACGTCTTTTATCATAATATACAGATCTGTATTAACTGAGTGACCACACACTTGTCTCTAAAAGGTCAACATTTGAAAATAATAATAATACTTTTAGTCTTACTGCATAGACAATACACTCTTATGTTTGGTTAAATAAACAATTGTACATTGTTCATTTTGTAATTACATTATTATTACATTTGTTATTACTGAGTAATTATACAAAATTAACAATGTAATATATATATATATACTGTATATAAGAGAAAATGTTAGTGAATAACTTTAAATTGACCCTGTAAGGGCTCCAAGAGGAGAAATCTGGTGAACCTATCCAAATGTGTTTTTGACTATATGTCCCTTTGTACACGCCATACTGTGTTTTTTTTTTCTTGTTTTTTTTTTTCACTCTGCCCACAGCTTGGATTCACACTGCTAAAGAAAGAGCCGTCAACTAACATGAGTCATAAGGGTTTTTGTGACCCCTCCAACATTAGTTGTGGACACCATGACACGCTATTAAGTTTGGACCACAGAAGATTTGTGGAGGCGCTGACATTGTCTATGTTGTCGTGTTCCCCTGACACGTTGCTAAATGGGGTCATTCCAATTAGTTGTTTGGGACAGAGCTGGACTTCTTCAGGGATGTTCACACTCTGTCTCAGTGTCTAGGGGGAAAATAACAACATAGGAAGTTCATAAAATCAATGTATTTAATAAAAAAAAACAAAAAAAAAACAAAAACATATCTATCGCAAGTGTTTCTATGTCGCAAACATAAAACATTCAAATTTGCAAATGTGTTATATACATGACATGCAAATACTAAATGTATGAAATGTATAACTAATTTAAAAACATATAAATAATAAAATGTGAAACTATTAATTCAAAATATTACAATAAAATCAATACACTGCATGTTTGCAGGAAAACAAAATCAAGTTTCTTCTTTATAAGCTGCCGTGAGGCTAAGCAGAGTCTTTTTATGAATTATGTTATTGTGAGGATTGGTATTTTATTTACTTGTCTCAGATGAGCGCAGCTTGTGGACATCTGCTCTTTTAATTGCATCTCATCAGTATAATAAATGTTAAAGTCTGGAGGTGAGGCAATAGATTGGAACACTCAGATAATGGCCCTTCAAATGGAGTCTCAGAAGGTTATTCATTAAAGAAGTAATTTGTAAACTTAATGCACTTATAAAATAGCTCAATATTGGTTCGTTTTGCATTTCATGGGCCAGACATTAGAAGCAGATAATAAGAGAGTGTATGTTTCCAAATAGAAAACTACATGGCCAGATGTATGTATGTATATATATATACAATAGGCTTTACGGAGTTGCAGAGTTCTTTAAATGTCCTTTCAAAGAGTGTATGCAGAGAACTGTATGCATTTCAAGCATCCAGTGAAGTTTTCAGGCTCTTCATTAAATCAGAATACTGAGAACTAATTAAAACATGCTGTAGAATGCTCCCCAATTAACATAATCATTGACCTCATTAATATTGTGCATTGAACCAGAGAAGGGAAGTTTGTACTCTTTGTAATTAGATACAAATATATGTTTGCATCTAGGAAACAGTTGTTCAGAACATCAAACACACCTTGGCATAAAGATAAGCTCATTTTGGAGGGAAAATGTGTGTAGACTAAAGTTATTGAAATGCACGTCACAAATACCTATGCAATCTCAGACTATCTGAGTGTATCCTTGATGGACATTAGAGGTCAGAAATGAAGTGTGCAACCCACTGTTGTCATGACCTAGAGATGACTGGAATATAATATTTTGCCATCAGTTTGCGACTGATGCTGATAACAATAGTGCTTGATGGCTGCCGCATGCATTACAGCTTTGTTGACTATAAAGTGATCAAAAACATTTCCATTTCCAATCTCACGTTAAATGCTAGCCATATAGTGTATATTGCAAAAAATAAAAATAAAACCTTTATATCATATGCTATGGCAAATAATTATAATATTAAACGACTAATAATGCAGGTGCATCTACATTGAGCTTTTGTTTTC